AATATCAGGGTTCCTATTGCTTTTCAGACTGTGCTTCATGCACCATGTCAGCTTACTTGGTCTGTCCACCAAGGGGCCAAGATCCTCTTTGTTTTTATTTCTGTGGATAGGAAATACGATTTATGTAGTGTCCTGTGGAGATATTCAATCAGATTCTCCAACTCCATGGGAGGAGACCAAATTATCATTATATTTTCCTTATAATTTGTCCAAATTGTCTTGATGGATATTGTCATAGGCCTGTTATGTATGATGTTGGGGAGATGATTGTCCTGATGTATCTGTGATAGCTTGGGGAGAACTGCTCCAACATAGTACATTCTGGGAATTTTCTCATTAATTGTGTTATTTCCTAACCGAGAACATAGGGAGGGGGCTAATATTGATTGAAAGCAGGTCCATATCAGAGATGAGCTTATTGAGCCAGTGATCCCTGAGATTTTCCATTGGGTTGAACCAGATTGGAGACTTCAATTCAAAGTCTTCAATCTGGTTCAACCCAATGGAAAATATGAAAAGCAATAGGAACCCTGATATTCAACAATGTCAGGATTGGAGCAGGAAACAGATTGGAAATCATCTTTCTAAGATAATGTAAGGGATGTTGGAGATCCTCTGCTGGAGAGAAGTAGAATGAGATAAGATATATACTGCTAATTTGGATCTTGAGTAGTATCATGCAGTAATAGTTGTCACTCTGTTCTGGGTGCCCACCAGTGGCCAAGCGGTCTTCGTACCCTGAACACTGGGAGTTCAATTGTAGGTTTGCGCCTCGCTTGGACAGGCTGGCCACGTGGAGTTTTCCGGGTTTTCTTCATGCCTAAATAGGGGCCAGTTTCCCTTAAAAAGACCTCCTGGAAGGCATCCCCCTAGGCAGATAGCCCAAGTGTTGCATTGCCATAACTTAACAAACAAACGATACTCTGTTCTGTGGTGAGCTAAGTAAATGGAGTTGTTGACAACTATGAAACTACAGTGGATGAGTTTATTGGAGATATGCAATAGGACTTTATGAATACTGAACATAGCAATCTTACCCTGTACTAAGTACAGTTTTTGAATTGCCAGGTTGTCTACATTTTCTTGCAACATCATGCTATAGGCATCTGTGGTGCCAGCCTTACTCTTCTGTAGGTTTGCTTGGAAGATCCTAAGAATCTTATTGTGATTATGATTGTGATTTTGTGGATGAACCTGTTTATACATAGATATTGGTGTGATTTTCCATGATTGGTTTGGCCTTGTATTAGTTGAAGAATCAACTAAACTTACTGATAGTTCATTAGGTTGATCTCGAATGCCTTGTATCTTCTTAGACTGGGACAGCCTGGAGAGGAGTTATGATCTGAGTTTACTCTTTTTCACTGAGGGCCAACTTGTATTTAGTGCAGTTTGCATACTTTGGATCTCTATCCAGGTTTTCATATTCTTTATACAGGTAACCCCCATATAACACGGGAGTTACATTCCAGAAAATTGCCATGTTATGCGAATCTGTGTTATACGAAAGAAAGAACTAGTGCGAAAAGGGGGTTAGGTTCCAAAAATTAAGAAATATGTTGTTAAATTCTTATTTAAATCTGATTTAGTATTCATTTTTTCCATAGGTAAAATACTTATTTATTATTTAAGTAAATATTTTACCAGAGGATTATTCATTTTATATGATGACCTCAGCATGAGCATCATCATCAACTGGTAACAGTTTGTGGGTGCGTTCATTAATAGTGGTCATTCTGCAACAGGAGTGTGCTGCTGTTTGTAGGCATTTAGGAACAATGGTGAAAGAAAGATGGTGGCGCCTGCACTGTCAATAGTATTGTGTGGAGGAATCTATAATTACAAAAAATCGACACACCTGAACCAATTACGGTGTGATCATGCAAAAGATCGGAAAACAAACGTTTTCGAACCCCTTCTGGGTTCTGCTTCAGGTTCTAATCAGCTTCTAAAGACGTTCGATGTCCGTTATAAGTAGAAATTCGATCGTTCATGTCGTTTAAAGCTTGAAATTTAAGTTGTAGGTTCGAATGGATTCACGTAATCCAAGTCGCGCATGCGCGATTGGTTACCCGTCATAGTTTGATGGGCGAATTAGAGCGTGTTGTGAATTAACTCCTGCCAGGCCATGTTTGTTTTCCGATCTTTTGCATGATCACACCGTAATTGGTTCAGGTGTGTCGATTTTTTGTAGTAGTTCCGGTGTGATAGATAGTGAATTTATTTGAATCTATAATTCTAAAATGAGCTTTTAGAGGCAAAAGAAGGGTCCCAATTGTAAAATTTAACTATTAAATGGATTATTTGTTGAAAGAGCATTCAAAGTAGCCACGAAAACAATTAGAATGCTCGCGCAGAGTTTCACCAAGGTATAAAATAACACACCGTTTATTACATTTTACATTATATGAGGGTTTTACCCAATTCCCGAACTGTGTTAGAGTGAGTCTGTGCTATAAAAGCACCGTGTTATACGGGGGATGTTCCCTATTCTCGAACCGTGTTAGAGTGAATCCGTGCTATAGAAGTGCCATGTTATACGGGGGTTACCTGTATCTGTTTTTTGGAGCAGTTGTTGCATTCATCCTCTTCAGACAATCCCTTGCAAAATGACAATATTCTGTGAAGTTATAGCAGCTGAATAGAGTCATCCACCACCACAGAAGACCAGTCAATGGAGACTCTTTTCATTTTTATAAGGATGTTTCTCAGTTGTGGAGAGACAGTCAGGACTGTGTGTCTGTATTACTTTCCTCTTACAGAGTTTAATATTCTTACTATTTTTGTCAAATTACTGAACTTATGCATAGCTCTCTCTCTTATCATATTTTGGTGGTAGATAGCTTCCAGAGCCTCTGATTCCTCAATACTCTTTGGTACATTAATGAGTATTACTGTTGATTTTTTATGGGTAGGGTCAGAGATTTTTAGTTTATCTGATAGTATTGGGTCCTCAGTAAAAAAACACAAAATTTTTATGTGTATTGACCTGTATTTTTTTTACTTTAGAACCCATGGATCAAAATTTTGAAATTTGGTAGGAATACTTCTATTTAAACACTTTTAAAAGCTTGAACCATTGATTAAAAACACTGTACACCAATCATACTTACTTCAGCATATTATAATTTAATAGAAGCACAAATGTTTTCAGGCACTTTAAGGGCCTTCATCAGCAAGAGAACTGTTTTTCTATATCAAACAAGTTGCAATCTCCATTTTAAATATTTTTTTGTAAGTTAAGAAAGGAGATAGAGGTAATTTCAGATCAGACTTAATGAAAATTTTATATGTTGTTGGCATTTATAATTTTTTTGAAACTTACTTCTATCCCAAAAGTAAGGGTTTTGTCTTTTATAATAATTAATATAAAAAAAACAACAAATGTACCGGGGTGCCTGTTACCGGTGTGCTTCTCGAAAAAAACAGTGTTACAAACGTTTTCGAACTTGGAAGTTTTTCTTCAGGTAACTAATGACTGTTAAAAAAATGTGATTCAAATGAAAGTTAAATTGGAACACTATTCAGAATTCTATTCCATGGATATCAATAATGTCATTCAGGCATGCGTTATTTTAACAGCTGTAGATTATCATAAGTTCTTGTCTACAAGCGCCTGCCATGCTGTTGACAGGGTGATTTCATTTTTATGGTTAATGCAATTATCATCTTTGAGTGTAGTCATACAGATGTAAAGAGCCTCTAGACATTTAAGATGGTGTACATACTGTGTAGTGTGGATCACTTTGGCTTGATTGAACAATGGTTCTACTTCTGTATCTGAGGCATAGATGGCTAGAGCAGTGGTGGGCCTCGCATGTAGAATATCTGCTGCATGTTCTTTCAATCTCACTTCCAGGGAGCGCTTGGTGGATCCTACGTAGACCATCTTCTGTCCCATCTATGGTCCATAATTGGGATGGTGTACACCCCTGGGAGTTGTTCTTTGTTGGGAGTGTCTTTTCCATTCCGTAAAATATCAAAAATTGTAGCGCACCTTCTATAGGCGATACAAATATTCTTTTTCTTAGCTATCACATTATATAGTGATTCTTCTTTCTTCGGTTTTTATGGAGATGCTAGCCATGTAGGCTCTTTCTCTGAATAGACTGCATTCATTGGTCAATGGAAGCGATTGGAGCTAGTGACGTAAGTTTCAAGCCCTTCTCGTGTGTTGGCAGGGAGTATTGGTGGCCAAAGGCTCATAAATGGGAAGCAAAGTGCGGACTTGTGGCATGTTTATGTTCAGTATTGTGTTCAGTTTGTGGTGGGCTCTTGCATGATGAGGGCATTGCAGCCAGAAATGAAGAGTCGTCTCCTGAGCCTCGCAGTAGGGGCAAGTCGGTGAATTCCTTAGTCTGTGAGAATATAAGAAAGCATTTAGTGGGGCTGTCTCCGTGTGACTTTAACAGTTATTTGTTACCTGGAGATGAACTTCCAAGTTCGAAAACATTTGTAACACTTTTTTTTAGAGAAGCACACCTGTAACAGGCTCCCCGGTACATTTGTTGTTTACTTTACCCTGGTATAGTATCACTCTTGTTTAATATAAAAAAATTATTTTTTAATAAAATTTCATAACAGATGGTAGATACTACATATAATTTTAACTTTTAAACAAATATTGTTTTGTGAAAAATAGAGGAATTTCTCATAATTTAACAAAATTTAAGCTTATTATTATTATTATTATTTGAAATTTGTATTTTAATAAAATTGAAAATTTTTAGACTTTCTTCTTCATTCCCTTATGTATTCAATTAAATCTATATTATAGTTTATGAATCAGATATATTTTCACATTTCTTTCACAAAATTTCTTTTTAAAAAAATTGAAAGAGAAATTGGTTTTAATAATTAACAATATTTGTTAATGTGTATGTATGTATATAAATGTGGATTTGTAATTAATATTAAAAATTGTTATTTATTATGAGATTATATAAATATTAAAGAATATATCATCTTTTAAAATATATTTTATCTTTCATTATTTGTAGCCAAGATTTGTTAGCAGTTTGTCGTCAGTTAAATTTGGAACATTGTGTTGAAGAAATTATGGAACAACTTGGAGCTGATGAGCAGGGTCGTATATCATACAGTGAATTTTTAAGAAGACGAATGCAATTAATGAATGAGATTAATGCACTTACAATGCAAGACCAACTTCAAGATCCAGAGCATAGAACTAATACTACAGATATTCATGTAGCACCACCACAACAAACATCACCTGCTCCAGGAAGTGGGAGCACTGGTCATTGGCCAACTGGCAGTGATACTAGTCAAGGTTAGATATTATATAATATGGTTTAGTAATAAAAATAATTAAAAATAATATTGTAATATTTTTGGATTGTGTAACAATTTTGAATATTTCTAACTCACATATAATGTTAGGAAATATAAAATGGTATAATAATGATTTATACAAATTCAAAAATGTTAAAAATGTTTTAGAAAGCAATCCAAAATTATTACTTACAAGTTATTAATCTTCAAAATAGTGAAAGAACAAATTAAAAACTCATTACTGTTAATGTATTTTTGTACTATTTACAAATATGAATTAGAATATGGATGTTAATAAAATATTTTTTTGAAAAAATGTATATTATATCAAATGTAAACAAAATTACCACTTAGTAAGTGGTATGACAATTTCATAAGTAATAGATATAATGTAAATAATGAAAAAATAACTAAAATGTATGTCCTCTTTTTTTATATAAATAGTTTTTATGAAAAATATAAAAGTAAATTTAAATTAATGATCTTTCTACACTTATCACACCATCTCAAAAAATAGGTTATCAAATTCATTTTAATTTTATTTTTAACAAAGAAAAAAACAGCAACTGGACATAGCAGTAATAGTACATAAACTCTCATGTATGTGTTCTCAACCAAAATGCTACATAGGCAAAACAAAATGGAAGCTGGAAAAAAGACTAAAAGAACATGAAGCAGCAATATGATTAAGGAATAAAGAATCTTCTTAGTTCTAACATTGTAACAAATATGATTGTAAAATTAATAAAAATAATATAAAAATATTGTATAAAGAAATTAATATAATTAAATATGAGTTAAAGAACACTTTAATATACTATAATATGAAAGTAATATAAATTTAAACAAGTAAAACGGCAAACCGTATTTGGGACAAGACTGTGTCTCAGAGACTTGCTACTAAGTGGAATCACTTTGACGCTCAAGGTGGGTCTTGTTCTCTTTCTCCAACCTTCTTAGGTATTGTTGCTTTTGGGTGCGGTCATTCAAACTTTGCTGGTTGTCCACAATGCATTTTCGATGAAATTAACCTATCCAATTTTGAAATTTCTCTCCGTTGCGTGTTGGCCTGGATTGAATTTTTGTCAGTGTGTAACGAAAATTTCCTGTTTTTGAAAAAAATAATCGTGGTTATTGTATCATCCAAAATTATTTTTTTATTTTGCATGAAACAATGTACAGTTTAACCTGATAACGTCATCGGATGTAACAACAACCCTAATATAATGTCAAATTTTTATCGGTTCCACAATTTTACTATACTAGATAATGTTAAAAAGCCTACTTGTAACGACATAAAACTCTGTTTTAATTTCATATTTGAAGCACTCCCAAATTTACAAACTTATATTACAAATTTTATTTAACAAAAAAAAATACTACGTGTTCAGTCCTAGGGTCAGAGTTCACTTTTTAGAACAACTGTGGGTAGCACTCTCCCCTACCTGACTTCAGTTTGCCTGTTTGTAGAGAGAATTGCCTTTTGTATTTCATTTTGACTCTGTTCTCGGTCCCCTGAGTACCTACAAGTCTGGTTTTTTTTTTATGCGTGCATCATTTGGGCACCTAATATTCTGTGCCAAATTGCAACTCCTCACATGCACTCCTTCATACCTCTTAGTTGGTAACACAACAGGCAATGCGATTTTATAAACAAGACATAGTCTTGTCAATAATGGAATGTCATTAGATGGATGCTGGGTTAGGTTTATATGGTATAAGAGCACCAATGTAAAATGAGTATTGTTATCCACTGATGAGGCCAAAGAAAGAAGGTGAAATGCATATGGATAAGAAAATGGAAAAAAGCAATCAGAGTAAAATAAACATCTTTGTGGTGTTAACTGTTTATTGTTGTAATTTGTTACCTTGAAATTGGTGCCAGTTGAGTATTTTAGCTCAGACTTTTTTTATATTTCATCTTTTTAAAATTTTTAGAAATACAGTTATTTTTATTGATTTAATGTTTTCTTTTCTATATGTAAAAAAATTACTTCTTTCACCCAGAACTTAAGCTTAGAAGGACAGTTTGGTTCCTGAACTGAAGTTGAACCATCTTATCTGTATAAGCATATAAGCAAATAAATCCATGTCCCACATTTAATGTATTCTTGAAAATGATTTAAATATTAGGAATCAGATACTGGGAAATTTTTTCTATTATTTCGTATAGAAAATATTCTAACTTATTTAAGATCCATTTGAATAACCTCATCCAATTTCTTCAAATGAACACTAAAACACTGTAAAAAACCAGTTGACATAAAATTTTACAATTTCAGTATGATATTAAACATTACAGCATTAAATTGCCTTACTAATAAACACTTTGGAGTAACTAAATGATACATTTGTAAACAGTAATGCAATGAATAAGTTTGTATAGTATCCCCTATTATGAATTATATATGAACTGTGATTTCTTTAATATGAAGCAGACAACAATAGAAATATTGTAATCATATTGTACATTTTATATCAAAATATTACTGTATAAAAACAGAATAACAATGAAAATACCATATTTACTCATGTATAAGATGACCTCGCATATAGGATGAGGTATGACTTTAAAGATCAAAGTAAAGAAAATTAGATTTATTAATACAATTCTAATTTTAACTAGTTTAATCACAAATAAAATATTATCAAATGCAGGTAAATGCACACATTGTCCCACAAAAATTACTGGCATTTTAAACTTTAAAGAAAAATCATGTAAAATCAACAACATAATTTGTTCATGTAAAGCTGGACAATCGGAAACCTTTTTTGCCAATTTTTAACAGTCGAATCCACTCTCCGTCAATTATACTTATGAGTTTCTCTGATTTTTATTTCCAAATAATCATCTGTTTTCACATGGGAATGAATTAAAACTTATATCGGGCTCCCATGAAATTTTGGAATTCAATTCAAAAGCTTTGTTTTTCCTGATGCTATTCATTTTTACTCCTGACAATACACAAGAATGATTCAAATGACCCAGATAAAATACTTTTGTTTTTAAACACCAGAGGGTGATCATTTGCTAAAAAATGCAAATAACATGGTTCATTTTACATGGTTCACAAAAATTATTGCAAAAATGCAAAATCCTCCACTCACATGTATAGGATGACCTAGGTTTTTGAAGCAGTGAAAAATTAATAAAAATCTCATATGCAAGTAAATACAGTAAACAAACAAAATAGTAAGCCTACTTAAATGAACTGTTGTGAATAAGCTAATAAGAATATACTGAACCGCAATAGAACACAGACAGAATGCCATTAAAATAAACCAAAATATACATTAGGAACAGAATCACTTTCTATTCCTTACTTTTACTAGTGTAATTTTCAAATTTTTACAGTTGACTTTTTAATTTTTCAGTTCAAATTTTTACAGTATATTATTAAGATTATTCAATTCAGATACATGAGTTTGGATACCAGAGTAAGGCTGTACTTATATTTAAGTTTTTTTAATAAAAGTAAATTTTTTTTCTTATTAGGTGCTGCATCTGGAAAGCATGAAAGTTGGGAATTTGACTCTGGTGCACGTGATCTCAGTCCAGAACCTAATACATTACAGAAATTAATTGAAGCAGCAGGAGGTTCTATTAGTGGTAACAGCAGTGACTTATTGGATTTGGCTAACAAGGTAAAATGTTTATAAAAATATTTGTGTATTATTTAATATTAAATAATCAACTAGATGAATAATGCATATTAAATATAAAATTAATAAATGAGCTACATAACTTCAAAAATGAACACAGTTTAATATTTAGTGAGCTTCTAACAAGCAATATATTTGATAAATCATAAAAATAATTATTTAATATCATGTTTTCACGGAATGGTTGGCATGCAGATCTATCCAGGAAGACCATGAAATCAGATATTTCCGTATGGTAAAAACAAGCATGCTGGTTTAAGTGAGGTTATACATCCCTCTCTACAGGGCACATTAAAAAAACAAACAAGTTTTTACTCTAAAACTGTGAAACTGTCAGCTTCAAAAAGTATGATTATATGTTTAGTTTCTTCATTTTGTCTTCTCTCTAACCATGTAAAATACTGTTGGAATTCTGAAGATGACTTTTTATGTGTATTATTATTTGATTCATAAATGCAAAAATAAACATATTAAATTTAAGAAACTTGCTGTAAATTATCTGAGCTTGCACCAATTAACATCAGCTTTGTGTGAAATTTGAGAGGAAGATGTTATTTTTAAGATCAGGGTAGATGGTCAGTGTAGCCCACACTAACTACTACTACTACTACTACTACTACTACAGTAGAGCGTCGTTTATTCGAATCAATTGGGGACTGGGGTTGTTTGGATAACCGATTATATATGAAAAAATATATTAACCTATCCCGTGTTGAAATTTTTCTCCGTTGCGTGTCGCTTCACGTTGAATTTTCGTCGATGTTAAGCCTAATGTAAACTTTTTAAAATAATAATCGTGGCTATTGTATCATTAAAAATTATTTCTTTATTTTTTACAAACGAAATAAATATATTGAAAAATATAAAAACAAAAAAAAATGATACTTTAGAAGTTTATCTAGTATCAAAAACGTTCGATTCAACATGACACAGTCCTCAGAAAAACACCACACAAAAGTGCCAGTGCTGCCAGCTAAAACATACACATCAACAAAAAAATATTGGAGTAACCCAAGATATAGCCACAGATTGCAGCGCCACAGCACTAGCGAAAATTTAAATTTGCCGACTGGAATTCTTTTGGATAACGGACTTTCAGATAAACAACGCTCTACTGTAATGTCAATAAGTCCTTAGTTGTTTTATTGTCTTTGTCTTATAAACAAAAATTCTCTTCCTGATTTTAAGTCAGTCAATTACAATATTGTTATCATTTTGTACTCAGAAGAAAATTTTCTTTAACATTTAATTAACAACTACTTTTCTTAAATCTGATTAATTTTATATTTTAGTTACAGTTAAACCAGAATACCAGAAACCCCAGGGTTTCTCACATTCTGGTCTCCCATTTTTATGTGGCATTCTGGTCATTCTGCAAAAATATGGTATAAAATTATTTCTAGATGAATATTAAATAATGAAAGCATTCTGTTTCATTTATAATAATACTATATAAATAATTTCCTTGAACTATAAATTTATTATTATGAATATTTTTGAATTTGAGGAAAAGAGATACATTCATTAGATCATGGGTTCCCAACCTGGCTGCTAGTAATCCCTGAAGTTCTGACTCCCCCATTAATTTATTTGGGGAGTCAATAAATTACAAGAGATTGTTTTGAGTTCATTGGACAAGTTTATTTTTGTTATCACAAACCTTGAAGAACATCAATAGATTGTTTCTTGATTTTTAATCCTAATCTTAATACAGCATACATATTTCTTAATACAATGTTTAACTTAAAAAAATTTATATCAAAGAATAATCAACATAGCTTCCAGCAATGAATTTAGTAAACAAACTAACATTTTTTATCACTATTAGGAATCATCATCAGGTTATATGTTTGTTCAAATTGTTTTAAATTTAAATGAATAAAACTTAAATTTATATTTAAAAATACATCATTGAATTTTTAGAACATAAATATAAAATGTTTTAACAAAATGATAATTAGGGAATGTCTCGTTACATTCCAAATACAGTTAGTAGAACTTCGAAATCATATATTAAAATGAAAAAGTATGCAAGTGTCAACAAATGTAATGTTAATGTGTTAACAGTATGTAATATAGACCATACAAGTTACTTTATAAAAAACGTTTTAAGCATTTTAAATTCTAACATAATAGTTTATTACTTATATACAGGTATTTTACAGTGTTTCAGAGACATGTTAGGAAATTTGGCATTTTGGTTGATGTTATAATACTTTAAAATTTTTTCTATTTAAATTAATAGGAAATAGGTTTCAGTTAACATGTGCATAACATGTGATTTTTACAATATATTACTGGCTTTAAATATGGAAATGACTGCATTTAAAGATGTATTATTTATTATATATACTGTAGCTTCTTTAACTCCCAGTAAATCAAAAGTAGTACAATATGTAAGATAGTCAAAAAAACAGATAAAAATATTAAGTTTGATATTGAAGAAGAGATTGATAATGAATTAAATTTCTTATATATTACAATTCTAAATGAACCAAATAGATTTACATGTAAAATTTTTAAAAAAATTTGTAATGTTAAAAAAGTAATAGGTTTCTATTCAAGTTACCCATGTACAATTAAAAAGAATACATATATTATGGAATTGAAAAAAACAAACTTTTAATAGAACAACATATGAAAAAGACATAATGCAAGAAATAATAAAGTTAATAAAAATACTTATTAAATAACTACTCATATTTTATATTTAAAAAATAGTACAATCACTTTCTTTTTCATAGATATGATGTAAAAAATATAAAAAAAGAAGTAATTTATATTAAATTTGCTTATATTAAAACTATTTAACTTTGAAAAATGTTCAAATAAAATACACAAATGTTTTGCTCCTATATTATGTAATAAATAAAAAATAAAAACAGACAGTGCGGGTATAGTTTATAAATTATAATACACATATCAATTCCTATATTATTATATAAGAGAAACAGGAAGAACTTAGATAAAAGATTAAAAGAGCATGAAGCTGCTATACATCCTTAAATATAAACAATCATCTTGTTGTTACCATACAGAACAGACAGGATGTACAATAGATAAAAATTATATAAATATCTTACATCATGAGAACAATATATATAAAAGAAAATTTAAAAAATTTATCAAAGGAAATACTTTGAATACTAGTGAAGGAATGCAAATTACCACAAAGTGATATGACATCATTTCTGTCTAGTGATTAGGAATAATTCTAGAAACTTATTAAACCAAATTTATTCAATAATGTTATAATTTTATCTAACATGAAGTTTGGTTTTAAATATTGATGATTTGTTAAGTCCAAAGCATTTTTGCTTTAATGTATTTGCATTATTATTCATTTTTAATGTATTGGTGGTGTTAATATTTTATTTCATGTATTTGCATGTATTTGTATTTATATTTAATTGTATGGTTGCTGCAATACAATGTAAAGAACTTATATTTATTATAATTCAAATAACTTTGTATATATATATATATATATATATTAAATAATTTTAGAGTTATTGAAGATGGGCCATAAAATGAAAGTTGGCCCAAAATACATTTAGCAATGTATGTAACCAACCAGATAAAATAAAGTTAGAATTCTATTTTTGGATTATTGAACAACTGAAAGTGTTTTCATACATTTACAAAGGCAAAATTGTAGAGTTTAAAGAATTTTTTAATCTTTATAACTTATCATAATATTATATCTTTTAAGTTTAGTAAAATAAAACACAAATTTGAATTTTGATGTATATTTAATAAAAACATATAATGTCCTATTTGATTTTTTTAATTTAATCTTAGACTTCTCTTATTATTATTGATTTTTTTAAATTATCTTATTTGTTATATATTCTATTATGTATCAGTACATAAAGGAATTGAAAAATTACATATACTTTTGAAAAGGAATTGACAAGCAAACAATATTACAAATCCCTATGCTAGATTATTAACTTAATTAAGCTTTTATCAACAAATTAGATTTATTAAAACTAAAAGTATGTGCCATTAAGTTAGTCTTTTACAAGTAAAAGTGATTTTTCTAGTGAAACGTGTTTTCCATTATTCCTCATGCATTCACAAAAACTATTTAAATTTTATAAAATCCCTTAAAAATATAAATTATAGTGATTGATCAATTAAGTAGAATCATAATCAAGTCATGAAAAAACTTTTTTAATATAAAATAGGAAAAGTATGATATAAATTTTAAGTCAATCTTTTATTTTTATTCATTTTTTTCATAATTTTCCAATATTACATTGATGCCAATAAGAGTTGTATAGGACTACAGAATAATTTTTTATCAAAAGATTATTTTGAATATAATAAAAAATTTTTATTAAAATATTGAAAAGAATAAAATCATTCATACAATATGTTTAATTAATAGATTTATTAAAATCAAATATTCAACTTAATCAAATATTTTAGCAAAGTACTTTTTAGACTTCATTGTTTATGTTAATAATAATAAAAAAACAGTAGAATTCTTTATTATTTAGTTTTTTATTATGGTTTATAGCATGGATATATAAAGCAATATAATTATTAAGTATTTAAAATAATGCATCTGCTTACTGTATTTTTGTAGATTTTTCATAAAAATCTATTTAAGATTAAATATATAATATGAAGCTGCTAAGCTTATATGCTAATTTGCAACTAGAAATTTATTGAGTAGTTGGAGGTTTTTTCTCTGTCAAAATCACTAAAAGCATCTTTAATTTGAGGAAATTTGAAAATTCTTTACATATCATAGTAACACACATCTGTCATCCTGATTTTTCCTGAAAACATTGAATTTAGAACTATATCATGCATTTTTTAGTCTTTGCCTGTTTATTTTCTATCTATCAATCTATACTTTAATTGATATTATTTCACATTCCTATTTGTTTCTATCAAATAGAATAAGTAGTTTTAACCCCAATAAAGCAATTATTGATTGAAATATAGGAGGCTGTATATGTACTTTCAAG